TCACCTTTCCGTGAGAAAGCAGTCACTGTCTTCTGCATGAAAAAATGTTGCATCATCTTAGAGAAATAAATGGTGTTGCATTAATCCCAATTCATTCTCTTAAAAAAAATTTGCACTCACATAGTGTTTATTATGTGCTAGGCACCATTCTAAATGTTTTACATGTTATTAATCTTCACAGCAGCCTTGTGATGTGTAGACACTATTACTATCCTCATTTTAACAAATCGAGAGGCAAAGTGACAGAGAAGTTGGGTAACTATAAATATTATTAGTGTAAACTATCAACCATGTTCAGACTGTCCGAGGAATCTTTGGCAACTGCCTTGTGTTGGAAAGTCTTTCTACCTCTCTTATTAAGCTGCCATACACCATGGGGACTGAGAGCACCTTAATATTAAATCACCTCTCTTTTTTTTTTACTTATTTATCTTTTTTCAAAAGTATTCCTAGATGGGCTTCAAGGGCATCATTGCAGTAAGTATTAGTTTACAGAAGCAGCCAGGGATTTAATAACTCACATCGAGGGTTTGGTTAATTAGTTGAAAGAATGCAGACATCTTTTCTTCATTTTTCGGTTACTCTTTTGCCTACCCTTTATCGTTATGACCAATGATGAGATCAAGTATTGGCATATATAAGTAATGATTTTTAGGTGTTTAAAAGAGATAAGGGGTGAAAAAAATTTATATATTAATAACATGAGTTTTCTCATATACCACGTCAAATGATTTGTCACAAGAGCAAGAAAACTCTAAAGTGATGATGATACTTTCTGACATAAGAGTCCTGTGTTTGTATGTTTGAGTTCATAACAGACCTTTTCTCATAGAACATGGCTATTTAGCCACTGTTTTTAAAGTTACTATTTTTAAAAAATTACTTTTTATTTGTTGTGATTATTTTTTCTTTTTTTGTGGGGGAGGAGAGGTTTTTGCTATAGGGTGCATGCGCTCGCCAGAGAGAGAGAGAGAAAGAGAGACAGAAAGCGAGAAATCACCTCCTGGGGGGGATGGCCACACTGCAATCCCTTCTCCATTCTCCTCTTTGGATCTTGGGCTTGCACACACACATGCCCAGCGTGAATTTAAGCCACTGGGTCTGGGACTCGAACTGCGGTCAACTACATGGGAGTCCAGCAACATAGCCATTACAATGCTAACTGCTGGTCCCTATTTGTTATGATTTTTAAGCCACCAGGTTTAAGACTCAAACCACGGTTGGCCATATGGGAATCCGGTGCCTCAACTCTGATGTCACTTGCTGGTCCCCTTAAAAGTTATTATTAAGAACAAATTATTATATTTGGTAGGATCTGGTAAAATTAACAAACATGAATGTGGGAAATGGTGAGATAAAGGTTGTATACAAGAGCTATAAAAATATCCTTACCTAAGGAGACCAGCAGATGGATAAATTACATGTTATTGTAGTACTTGAATTGTTTTTTTTTTTTTTTTAACAAACAGTGAATTTTTTGTAAGCACATAAAAAGAAAGTTTGTTTCTGTGTTAGCTACAAAGATAGTTATCTGTTATTCCTGTTGAATTTTGTAGCATATATAAAGCATAATTACAATAACAGTAAAATAGAGAATATATATAAAAGAAAATACCATTTTGGGGGTTTGAAAGTAATAAAGTGTACAAATTAGACATAAAATGAAAGGAAGGAAAGGCTTTAGTGAGGGAGTGGGGTTTCTGTATTTGAATGCTGAGAACAAAATTATGAGTAGTGCTTTTATGATGGAAGCAGAATGAACGAATTAGATTGAAGAGAACTGGAAAGAGATGTGAAGTAAGTAAAATTCGTTTCTAGAGAAGCCAGTAAAGGATCTGAAAATTTTAACCTATGCTGGAAATAGGACTCACAAATAATGTATAAGAAATGAAAACACAACCTTAGAGTCAGTGTTTACAGACTGCACAAGAGTATACAGAAGTAGCAAAGACATAGTTAAGAGAGAAGGGAATTGTCTCAGTCCAAGGTACCATCACATCCCTCTCGCTTACTGCAGTAACCCCAGACAGGCTTCCATGTTGCCAGTATTGCCTGCACCCCTTCTCCATCCAGTTTCAACACAGAGTGATTCTTTCAAAACATAAAGCAAATCAGAACTTCCATTAGCCCTTTACTTCAGTCAGAATAGGCTAGAAGACCCTGTAAGAGCTCCCTCCACCTGACTCTTTGACCTTATTTTCTTCTACTCTCCTTGCTCATTTCATTCCGAATTTATTCCTTTTTTAAAAATGTTTTAATTATTTTATTTATCTTTATCCATTTATTTATTTTTATTTGATCATAGAGGGATAGAGTGAGAGAGAGTGAGAGAGAAAGTGAGAAAGCAAGCTGCCAGGTCTGGGACTCGAATTGAGGTCAACAATGTGGGAGTCCAGTACCTTTAACCACCATGCTACCTGCCGGCCCCCGAATTCATTCCTTTTTATTGTTTTTCAAAACACTCTCTCTCTAAGGGAACCAGCAGTTAGCATAATGGCTATGTCGCTGGACTCCCACATAGTCGACCGCGGTTCACGTCCCAGACCCGGTGGCTTAAAACTCAGGCCGGGCGCGTGTGCGTGCGTGCCCAAGATCCCGAGAGGAGAATGGAGAAGAAGGGATTGTGGCGTGACCATCCCCTCTGGGGGGTGATTTCTCGCTTTCTGTCTCTATGTCTCTGTCTGTCTGGTGAGCACACGCGCCCTATAGCAAAAATCTCTCCAAAAAAAAAATCAAACCTCTCTCTCTCTGGGACCAGCAGTTAGCGTAATGGCTATGTCACTGGACTCCCACGTAGCTGACCGCGGTTCGCATCCTGGTGGCTTAAAACTCACACCGGACACGTGTGCGTGCGTGCCCAAGATCCCGAGAGGAGAATGGAGGAGAAGGGATTGCGGCATAGCCATCCCCCCTGGGGGGTGATCTCTTGCTTTCTATCTCTCTGTCTCTCTGTTTGGCAAGCGCACGCGCCCTATAGCAAAAACCTCCCCCCCAAAAAAACTCACTCTCTTTCATCTTAAGACTTTCTGCTGACAGTCCCTCTACCTAGAACACTATTCTCGCAGAGAACCACATGGCTTTTATTCTTGAATCTTTGCTCAAATGTTACCTTTTCAGTAAAGCTTACCTCCAACCATCTATTTAAATTTTCAGTTGGCCTTTCTTCCTCCATATTCCTGAGGCACTTTTATCTTCTGATATATATTTAATTTACTTTTTTTTGAGAGAGAGATTTTTGGTATAGGATGTGTGTACTTGCAGGAGAGACAGAAAGCTAGAAATCACCCCCTGGGGGAATGGCTGTGCTGCAGTCTCTTCTCCTTGGGATTTTGGGCATGTACATCCACATGCCTGGCATGAGTTTCAAGCTGCCAGATCCAGGACTTGAACTGTGGCCAACTATGTGGGAGTCCAGCAATGTAAACATTACACTATCTGCTGGTCTTTACTTATTTATCATTTTTATTGTCTGTTATCTGACTCTTCCTTGATTGAATAAAAGCTGTGCAAGGGTCTTGTTTTGTACACCGATGTATCCTATACATTTCAGAACAGTGCTTATCACGTAGTAGATGCTTACCAAATAGTAATTGAATAAAATGCATGGATTGAAAAGCTTGTGAGGAAGAACAATTACGGGGCTAGCTAGTGGCATGGCAGTTGAGGCAGTGTGGTCACATGGCCAACTGCACATCCAAGTCCTAGACCTAGTTAGTGCCTTAAGAAACAACACTGGGGGCCAGCAGATGGTGTGGTGTTAAGGGGACACTGGATTCCCACATGGCCAGCTGTGGTTCAAGTCCCGGACCTGGCAGCTTGCTTTTTCATTTTCTCTCTCTCTCTCTCTCTCTCACTCTCGCTCTTTCTCTGTCCCTCTCTGGTCAAATTAAAAATAAGCAAATAAAGTTAAAAAATAGTAATTCTTTTAAAAAAGAAAGAAAGAACAAACACTGTGTGTGCATATGCCCAAAATCCCAAAGCAGGAGAGAAATGGAGAGGAGATTGCAGCATGCCCATCCACCATGGGGGAAAAGGGATGCTTTCTCACTTTCCCTCTCTTTCACTGGCAAGCACACACACCCTCTGGCAAAATTAAGAAGAAAAAAAGGAAGGTAAAAATTAATGACCCAGGGCTGGCAGGTCGTGTAGTGGTCAAGGGCGCTGGACTCCCACATGGCCGACTGTGGTTCGAGTACCAGACCTGGCCACTTGCTCTCTCACTTTCTCTCTGTTTCTCTCATTGTGTCTCTCTCTGGTCAAATTAAAGTGAGTAAATAAATAAAGTTAAATACAATAATTTTTAAAAGACAAATTAATGATCTAAGAGAACGTTGTATGGTAGTGCTATGGGTTTTAAGTTTCCTTTCAAGGTTTTACTTGAAATGTCATAAGATCTCAGAACCAACAGATATAGAGTGTTGTGTGTTACCACTGTAGAAATTGGCTTCAGGGACCAACAGATGGAGTAGCAGTTATGTTGTTGGACTCCCACATGGCCAACTGCAGTTTGAGTCCTGGACCCAATGGCTTGAAAATCATGATGGGTGCATGTGCGTGCATGCCCAAGATCCTGGGAGGAGATTGGAGGGGAAGGGATTGCAGCGCAGCCATCCTCCCTGAGGGGTGATTTCTCACTTTCCATCTCACTGTCTCTCTCCTTCTCTCTCTCTGGGGAACACACACACTCTAAGACAAAGACCTCTAAAAAGAAGAAAGAAATTGGTTTCAGGACATAACTTAAAATCCATCGATAATCTTTTTAAGCTATTAATTCAAATTACTTGAATTTTATTTCATTAGGATATTATTCAAGATACAATGCTACTTGTTTTTAATAGTGAAAACTGCATTTTATATGTTTCTTGGTTTAAACCTTATCTCATTTTCCACCTAAGTCTTCTGGATTTGGAATTTTTCATTTGATTAACAGAAGGAGTTTTACAAAGCTTTTTTGTTACAATGTGAACTGTATGTTTTATACGAACTCCATTGTCTTGTAGATGATGATTGGCAGGAAGCACATGAGCGCCTGGCTGAATTGGAGGAGAAGCTACCAGCGACAGTTAATGAAGAGACAGGCAATGGAGAGAGAGATGAGATGGACTTGTTGGGTGACCATGAGGAGAATCTGGCAGAAAGGCTTAGTAAGATGGTAATAGAAAATGAACTAGAAGATCCAGCTATCATGAGGGCAGTGCAGACCAGGCCAGTTTTACAAGTGAGTAAATTACTCTGATTTGAGAACTATGGCAGACTAACAAAGTGAAGTATTGAATTTTGCCATTTTGTTTCATCTACTGTAATGAAGATTACGTATACCATAGAAAATTAATACGATCCTGATTATAGTAATTCTAGAGATGAGATTGTAAAATAATGTGTATTTTAGAGCACTGTAATTTTCTATTGTCTAGCAGTGGAGGCTTTTTTGGAACCTTGTTTACCAAACAGCAGGTAATTCACCCAGAGAGACCTACACTATTCCAGACTCTGTGTGCTTTCCTTTTTTATTAGCCCCAACCAGGAAGTCTGAATTCCAGCATCTGGGATGGATCTGAAGTTCTGAGGCGAATCCGAGGACCACTACTTGCTCAGGTATTTAATATTTTCTCTTTATATAAAATTCCTAATATCTAAAAACCGTTATGCCTAGCGTATGTCATTTGTTAGTATTACATGGACTGCTGCATTCAGCACTCAGACAGCTGTGCCTATGGATGTACCTTTTCTTGGTCCCTGAGTTGAAAAGGAGCTGTTAGGATTCAGATTTGTCAGTATATGATTTTTTTTTAGAGTTTTTGCTGTGGGGCATGTGCCCTCACCAGAAAGACAGAGACAGAGAAGCAGGTGAAATCACCTCCCCAGAGGGGATGGCCATGCCGCAATCCCTTCTCTTCCATTCTCCTCTCGGGATCTTGGGCATGCATGCATACGCGCCCACCATGAGTTTAAGCCACCGGGTCCAGGACTTGAACCATGGTTGACTACATGGGAGTCCAGTGATGTAGCCATTATGCCATCTGCTGATGCCTGTCAGTGTATGATTTTTTTAAAATAAAGAATTATTTTATTTTTAAATTTTTAATTGTTGGTTTTTGTTTTTTGGTTTTTTTTGGTTTTTTTTTTTTTGAGAGGTTTTTGCTATAGGGCACATGCGCTCACCAGAAAGACAGAGACAGAGATAGAAAGTGAGAAATCACCCCCCCACCCCCCCCAGGGGAATGGTCATGCCGCAGTCCCTTCTCCTCCATTCTTTTCTCGGGATCTTGGGCACACACGCACACGTGCCCGGCGTGAATTTAAGCCACGATCCAGGACTCAAACCACCCACGGGGTCCAGGACTCAAACCACAGTCGACTATATGGGAGTCCAGTGACATAGCCATGATGCTAACTGCTGGTCCAATTTTTATTATTTTTTTAAAGTTTTTATTTATTAATTCATTTATTTTAATTTGATCAGAGAAAGAGAGAGAGAGAGAAAGTGAGAAAGCAAGCCACCAGGTCCAGCACTCGAACCATGGTCAGCCATGTGGAAGTGTCCAGTTCCTTAACCACCATGCCACATACTGACCCCCAATTTTTATTATTTTTTAAGAGAGTTCTTTTTTTCCAAAGAATTATTTTATTTAGCTTTATTATTGTTATTATTTTCCAATTTGATCAGAGTGAAAAAGCAGGACACTGGACCTGGGACTTGAACCGTGATCAGCCAGGGGCCTAACCACCACACCACCTGCTGGCCCCAAGAGAGACTTTTTTGGGGAGGGAATGTAGGGCACATGCACTCTCCTAAGAGACAGAAAGCGAGAAATCTCTCTCCAGGGGCATAGCCACACTGCAATCCTTTCTCCTCCATTTTCCTCTTGGAATCTTGGGCATGCACACACATGTGCTTGGCGTGAGATTTAACCCACTGGGTTTGGGACTCAACCCGTGGTCAACTCTGTGGGAGTCCAAGGACATAACCATTACACCATCTACTAGTCTCTGTTTTATTTTTTATTATTATTTTTAAATTTGACCAGAGAGCAACAGAGAGAGAAAGAGGACGGAGTCCAAGGACATAACCATTACACCATCTACTAGTCTCTGTTTTATTTTTTATTATTATTTTTAAATTTGACCAGAGAGCAACAGAGAGAGAAAGAGGACGTAAGAAAGCAAGCTGCCAGGTCCAGTACTCAAATCACAGCTGATCACATTGGAGTCTACTGCCCTAACCACCATGCCACCTGCTGGCCTCATTAGTGTATGATTTTGATCACTTCCAAAGTCATTTCTAAGAAAAACTTTAGGGATACAGAACAGATCAGTGGTTGGACATGACAGAAGGCTTCCTTCACTACAACATGACAAGACAAAGGAATTGTGGAGAACGATAAAGCTATTGATATATGCAACAGTCAAGATAACGTTGTACAGCAGTCATTCTCCACACATCCATTCATTACACCATGTATAATTAAACCCCTAAGAACTGTTTAGCAAAGAATAAGTTTTATTATATGTGAATTTGAAATAAATAAAAATGTAAAAAGTAAATTCTCGGGGCCAGGTGGTGGCAACAGTATAATGCAGCTGGACCCACAAGGGAGAGGTTTCAGGTTGCGTCCCAGGGCCTTCCTAAGCACACTGCTCAAGTGTGTGCCCATGATTCCAGCCATCTGAGACTGGAAATAGATTGCAATAGGAAGACCCTTTTTGCATTTCTTTCTCTCCCTCTCATGGAAGAAATGAATAAATAAACTTAAAAAAATTCTCAAAACAAAAAGATCTTTTTAGTATCTGTAGAGATGAGGGCTTTCACGTTAGCTAATTTGTCTCTATTTCCTTTTTGCCACTTCCTTAATTAGGAAATGCCTGCTGTGTCTGTATTAGAATATGCCTTGCCTCAGAGGCCTCCACAGGGCCCGGAAGATGATCGGGACCTTTCTGAGCGCGCGTTACCAAGACGGTCAACTTCACCTATCATCGGGAGTCCTCCTGTTAGAGCTGTACCCATAGGCACCCCACCTAAGCAGATGGCTGTTCCCAGCTTCAACCAGCAGGTACCTCTCATTAACAGGCACTCAGCCCAGAATATTGGGAATCTGGGCAAAATTATTTGGAAATTGGTGATTTAGGGAGGAGGGTGGAAGTTTGGGTAGGCATTAGATTTGAAAGGAAAATAGCCTATTAGAAGAGAAATTAGTACAAGTAAGAGACACAGTCCCTAATACCTTTTGCTGCTGCCTTTTAATTGGGGGAGAAAGGGTAGTTAACCAGTTAGTGCATATATCCTTTTTAAAGTATTTTGCTGGCTGCCCAAAACATTAGCAGAGAGATAACTGAAAGCTGGGGGGAGTGGGAACACACAGCATTGTCCACATCCCTTTTTACCTTTAAGATATCCCTGCTTTCCCTAGAGCCTGTGCAGTCCTGTTCCATAGAATTTCCTCCACCTGAAACCAGCAGCTGAAAAGGAAGGCCAATTTGGAAGGTATGGGGGGAGGGTGGTGTTGGTATGGCCTAGTTAGGCTCAAAATCTATGAAATGGTGGAGTCACAATGTATCACGAAATTGCTGAGCATGGCGGCCATATCACCAGGGCTTCAGAATAGGACTTAGTTAATCCTCCAGCTTTCTTATCATTCCTTCTCCCTCATTGCTACCAAAATACATCCTTTTGGAGAGAATTTGCAAGTCAGAATATCTGCTGGTACTTCCCTCAGATAGAATGGAAGGGTGGGGATAACTGGAGAATTAGCTAAATCTTTCTCAGTTAAAATGGGCACTTTGCTTGATTTGTGAGAGAAAATGACCAAAGGTTATGTATTTAACCCACAGCTATAGCAATTTGCTTAGAAGTAGGGCTTTGCATTGAGTTCTGTTTCTCTACCAGTACTTGAGGAGAGAGACTGTAGGGGCAAGAAAAACTGATTTCATTGAGTGTAGTTGTATGTATGTTTGTCCTGATAGATTCTGTGTCCGAAACCTGTCCACGTTCGACCCCCAATGCCACCTCGCTATCCTGCTCCCTATGGTGAGAGGATGTCTCCAAACCAGCTCTGCAGTGTCCCGGTACGTCACTTTACAATCTGACAAAAATGTACAGTCTGTATTTTCTGATCACTACTAGTACGTAGAATTACTGAAACTAATGATCACTACTAATATCACTACTGGTGTATAGAATTACTGACAGCTCCTAAATTATACGTACATTTTATAATCTCTGTACTTGAATTTCTGATTGTTATGCTCGCCAGGTCAGAGAACGTGGCTCATCAAATTCACACATTTCTTGTGTCAACTCTTTCTTAGTTTTAAAAATCTCACTGTGATCGTCTCGTTCCTGCTTTTTCATTCTCTCATTATACCATATTTTTCATGTTACGTGTCAAAGTATTTGACAATTTCTAGCATTATTCATTTATATATTCCCTCTATAGAGAGCCTGACTCTATAGTTGGAAAGTTTGTACTGAGTTTTTACTGCCCTTTTTTTTTTTAATGTCTGAGTTTTCCATATATCAATCAAATCTATTTCATAGTATGAATATGCTTTTTTTCCCTTAGAACTCTTCCCTCCTGGGTCATCCTTTCCCTCCTAATGTTCCTCCTGTCCTCAGCCCCCTCCAGAGAGCACAGCTTCTTGGAGGAGCACAGGTAAGCCTGGGATTAACCCTTGTAAAGAGCTCTCATACTTTCCTATGGCTCATTAAATGATATCCCTGTTTTATTTTTCTGCTAGTTGGTACTACCTCTTTTTTTTTTAATTTAATTTTATTTTACAAACAACATTCCTGGTGGAAGTAGTATTCACTTTTCAGTAGATAAGAGCAGAGGGGCTTGCTAATGAAATTAATTTAAAATCATGTCTCTTTGCAGCTACAGCCTGGACGGATGTCTCCCAGCCAGTTTGCACGGGTCCCTGGATTTGTGGGTAGTCCAATTGCTGCCATGAATCCCAAGTTGCTGCAAGGGCGAGTTGGGCAGATGCTTCCCCCAGCACCAGGCTTCCGTGCCTTCTTTAGTGCCCCACCACCCGCTACACCACCTCCTCAGCAGCACCCTCCCGGCCCAGGAACTCATGTGCAAAACCTAAGGTATGTAAAACAATTGCCACTATTTATCCCTTGTCTGCCAAGTATCTTCATGGTTGCTGTTTAATTTCATAGCATAGACATCTTTTCATATTATGAAGATATATTTTGAGATGTTACTTGATCCTGAAGTTGGCAAACAGAAGTGTTTGATAATCTCCAGGCTTTCTTATGAATTGCATATCCCTCAAGAATCACATTTCTGGGGCCAGCAGATAGCATAGCTGTTATATTGCTGGACTTCTACAAGACTGGGAGTCCACCATTGTTCAAGTCCCAGACATAGTGACTTGAAAATTAAGCCGGGCGTGTCATGTGTGAGTCCATGCCCAAAATGCCAGAAGGAGAAGTGATTGCAGCATGGCCATCCTCCCCAGGGCGTGATTTCTTGCTTTTCCTCTCACTGTCTGTCTCTCTCCCTGGCGAGCACACACGCCATAGGCAAAAATCTCTTTAAAAAATAAGAATCATGTTTCCTTGTGTGTTTGCACCTTTTGAGTTAATTGCCATTTGTTCCAAAGTTTCTCACATCTCACTTCATACCCATTTTACAAGTGTGCACACGGACACCCACACACACACACACAAAGACACAAATAAACATATACACGGTGCTTGTTACTTAACAAGAATTACCATATGCCAAGGAGCAGGGAGAGAGAGATGCTAAAAAGTCAGGTAATTGCAATCCAGCAAACCTCTTTGCTTCTATTTTCTGGTTTTATAAGGAGGGGTTCAAGTTCATTCCTAAGTGGAAATATGTTTTCTTATGTATCATATAGTATCAGTCAGGGTTCTCAAGAGAAGCAGAATCAATAAGAGATACTATGTGTGTATGTATGTATACATTAGTTACATGCATAAATGTGTGTGTGTGTGTGTGTGTGTATAGAGAGTATGTATGTGTGTATTAGAGATATTTTATAGGTTTTTAAAGAACTATTATTATATTTAAAAATTACTATAGGACATGTACACTCACCAGAGAGAAACAGAGATGAGAAAGAGAAGTAAGAAAAAAAGCCATCAGGTCCAGGACTCAAACTACGGCTGGCCATATTGGAGTCCAGCACCTTAACCACCATGCCACGTGCTAGCCTCATGAGGAGTTTTATTTTAAGAAATTGCCTCATGTGATTATAGAGGTTGTCAAGTCCACAATCCATAGGGCAGGGAAGCAATGTAGAAAACAGTAAAAGCTGATATAATCTTAATTTTTTTCCTCTTTATTTGTGATACAACATGTATATGCACATGTGAGAGTATGAGGTGGGTCGAGTACTCTTCACAGAGTCCAGTCATACTATGATCCCCTTCCTCCAGTTCTGGGATCTGGGACACTCATGCATACCTGGCATGTTTCAGGCAAAATGGCCCAGAGATTCAAACCATACTTGCCATGTGGAATCCAGCTTTTGAGCTGCACATTATCAAGGTCAGGGCATGGAGCTGACCTTGACGTTGCTCTTTTGATTTTCAAATACCCGAGGCAGGCCAACAGGCTGGAGAGTCAATGAGAATGTCTATATTCCAGTCTTGAGACCAGATTTCTTTTTGAGGAAACTTTAGTTTTTGCTTTAAGCCCTTTAAGTGACTGGGTGGGTCCCAATTAGTGGATTGTCAGAAAAGTCATGATGCATTTTTGCTTAGAGGAAAAAAAATATATCATGACTTTTCCAAGGCCCCAATATTAAGGATAATTTCTCTTTCATAAAAGTCAGCTGACTGGGCTGACAAGTGGTATGGTGGTTAAGGTGCTGGACTCCCACATGGCTGACTGTGGTTCATGTTCCAAACTTAGTGGCTTGCTCTCTCACTTTTCCTCTCTGTCTCTCTAGCCTAATTAAAAAATAATAAATAAGGGACCGCAGTTAGCATAATGGCTATGTCGCTGGACTCCCACGTAGTCGACCGCGGTTCGCGTCTCGGACCCGGTGGCTTAAATCTCACGCCGGGCGTGTGTGCGTGCGTGCCCAAGATCCCGACAGGAGAATGGAGGAGAAGGGATTGCAGCATGGCTATCCCCCCTGGGGGGTGATTTCTCGCTTTCTATCTCTCTGTCTCTGTCTTTCTGGCAAGCACATGCGCCCTATAACAAAAACCTCTCCTAAAATAAATAAATAAATAAATAGAATTGAATACATAATTTTTTTAAAAAAGTCAGCTGACTGTGGGACCAGTAGATGACGAAGCGGTTACGTTGCTGGACTCCCACATGGCCGACTGCAGTCTGGATCCCAGACCTGGTGGTTTCAGAATCACACTGGGCACATGTGCATGTGTGCCCAAGATACTGGGTGGAGAATGGAAGACAAGGGATTGTGGTGTGGTCATCCCCCTTGAAGGATGATTTCTCACTTTCCCTCTCACTGTGCCTGTCTCTTTCTCTCCCACCTTAAGGCAAAAATCTCTAAGGAAAAAAGAAAGTCAACTGACCAATTGTTAATCACATCTACAGAATACCTTCACAGCAACATCTAGACCTTGTTTAATCAAATAACTGAGTAACAACATAGCCAAATTGTTATATAAATTACCACACTTACACTTTTTTGTCACTTTCATATAATTGAAGCTGAGTACATTAAATGTGTTTAGAGACTTATGTTAAACAGAAGCAAAAGTAAAAAGACCAATCCTACTTTATTGCTCATTCACACAGATCTTGATGATCATTCTCTTTGGAGTTCATAATTGGTCTTTGTGAAAGATGCTTAAAAATATACCTATCTTTTGCTTCTAAAGTTAGGTCTCCTAAAAATGGACTTTGACAGTTCCTTGAATGACCCTATATGAAATTATCTGTATTGACAATGCTCTTTAAAACTCTAATCATCAGGAAGACAGAATTACAGACCTTTTTCATTTTTTCTTAGATCTCAGGCCCCAGTGTTTAGACCGGACACAACTCACCTTCATCCACAGCACCGTCGACTCTTGCATCAAAGACAACAACAGAATAGAAAGTAAGTACTCATTCTACTCTCTGATTTCTTAATTCAGCTTTTAATTTTAACAGTGCAACAAGATGCTATTAATTTGGGTTTTTTTTTCCTTGTAACTTAGTTTTGAGTTTATTTTTCTTATAAAGTCAGATTATAAATGTTACCATTTTACATTTTTGATTTACTACTATCTTTAAATGATTTGATTTTATCCATTGATTTACAACTAAATGTAAATGAACAAATTTACAATTTCTTAAAATAAATGATAACCATGGGGACCAGCAGGTGGTGTGGTAGTTAAGGTGCTGGACACTCCCACATGGCCAACCAGGGTTTGAGTCCTGAATCTGGTGGCTTGCTTTCTCACTTCCTCTCACTTTCACCCTCTGTCTCTCTCTGGCCAAACTAAAAAATAAAAAAATGAATAAAATAAAATAATTATTTAAAAATAAATAAATGAATGATAACTATTGATTATAAATCAGAATAAAAGTTTACACTTTAGAGGAGTTTTGTTTTTTGTTTTAAATTGCCAGAGGGCACATGTGCTTATCAGAGAGAGAGAGAAAGGAAGCATGCTCTCAAAGGGGCATGGTCACGGGTTTCCGTTTCTTCGTCCCATCAGGATTTTGGTCACAAGCATAAATGCCTAGGCATTTTCCCAAATTGCTGGGGCTGGGATTTTAACCATGGTCACCCATGTCGGGTCTTAACTGCTGCATTTTGACCTTGGCCCTGTGTTTTCTTTAATCCAACATTTTATACTCTCTCCTTACCAAATTCTTATCATTCTCTTAACTATGTTTTGTTTAACATCTCAACTTCAAGGTAATCTTAAAATACCCTAGCCCTTCAGTGCCGTGGTGGTGAAGGCAGCTGGCTCCCTCATGGCCCCCTGTGCAGCTTGAGTCCCAGGCCTGAGGACTTGAAAAACACACAAAGTGTGTGAGTGCATTCCCAAAATCATGGAAAGAGAATGGAGAAGGGATTGTGGTGACCCTCCCCCAAGGAGGGTGCGTTCTCCCTCCCTCCAGCCCCGCCTCACTCTTGTTCTCGCTTTCATCACCAGCAAGCTCACACATTTCCTGGCAAAAAAAAAAATATATACACACACACACACACACATATATACACACACACACATATACATATATATGTATGTATATATACATATTTGTGTGTGTGTCTGTATGTATATATATATACCACAATCCCTTCTCTATGCTCTTTCCATGATTTTGGGAATGTACTCACACGAAATGAGGTTTCCCATCCAGAATACACTGTATATTGGCTCAATCAAGCACATCAACATACATGTTATCAACAAATAATTTTCCATTTCTTATTTCCTGTATATTTTGCTTTTTTTTTTTTTT